CCTTTATTTCCGCCATTTTGAAAGTGTTAGTTTCCGGGGCTTCTTGTTTAATCTAATCTATTTCCGCTTCCTCATCTTTTAGTTTTATTGAACATCTTTTAGTTATATAAGGTCACGCGTGAATGAGCCAGGAAAGCGATGTATGCTGCACAACATCGATGTATGACATCCAAAATCGATGTATTCCGGATGAAATTGATTTAGTTTATTTTAAGACTTGTATTATAACGCATAACAATAACGTAATTGAACAAAACATTAATGTATCCATGTTCGATATTTTGTCCGTAAAAGAACTTCATACAATGGATTCTTTATGCATGCCATTGTTTATTTATCTACATACGAAATTGAGACGAATACAGATATCTGTGGCAATATACAGGACCTCGTTTCTTTCCACCCCCTCCCCCCTTCTTCTTCTTCTTTTCTATTCAATTCGCTGCTGAGGCCCTGAAGAGAAACTCGTTGTACCAATGTAGCTCATTTTGAAGGTTGAAGACTGCTAAATTCTGAGCTGTTAGGTGTGGACATTTCATCAAGGTGGTAATTATTTGGGAAGGAAATGGTAACCCTTGGCTGATTCAAGTCACGATTAGTTGAAGTTTTGCGTCTGATTATTTACAAGGGTGGTGTGAGTTTTCCTAACTAATCCCAAAGTAGCTTAGTTAAGGAAAACTAATGCAAAACAAATTATTCTCGACTGTGTCGTAAAAATACGGCCCTGTTTCGATTAAAATTCTCATCTCATCACGATCATGGTGGGTGTCAGTGACATGACAAGAACTACGCTGGCACCGTGATTATCATTATTCCCTTTGTTATTACGCATGTAGACTACGGATTTAGACTATGAGCACTCCCTCCTTGACGTCGAAGTACGTCGCACGAGTACAAAAAATTAGCTTAGAAAGGAAAGTTGATATGTCGTGTGGAGCTTTTGGAGTGAGGCGCTAAGCCCAACAGTTTGACTTCTGCGTTGCGCTCACAATGCAAAAATATGATTGATTATCGCACTCCGGTTTTAGGAAGAAAATTCCACAGATTACACCCACCGACCGTTAATAACCTGCATCAACCAAAGAAAATCATGAAACAAAGCTCTGGTGTTCACAAATTCGGAGTCAAATTAAGGGCGGTGTAATGATTAACTATGATTCCACAATCGTCGATTACGTAATTTCTATTTGCATGTTCTCGGATTATGTTTGTTATCACGGTTATTGCGCGTGATTTAATTCTAAAATAATATTTTCGTGTACGCTTTATGTGTTTGAGTGATTGCACAATAGCTCGTGTTATGTATAGTTTCTAATCGTTCTTAATAGTATGTTATGCCGTAAATTACCTTTCAGTTTTTACGCTATCAAGTATCGACAAGTACCATATCCCAAGAATAAAAGATAATCAGTTAGATACAAAGATGAGTGCTTGAAGTCAGTAAATCTCCACCTCCGACCAGATATTTTATACCTTGAGAATCTAAACCCGCTACAGGCAGTATGCTTTCCATCTTCGGAAACTGTTTTGTTCGTTTATACCAGGTCATCGGACTCATCGGCCATGTGAGTTCATTTGTAAACAAAACAGTACATCGATGATACTTTTGCTCGTGCTTTCTAATTAGTTAGCGATTTCTTCCCCAAAACATGTGTCGGGTTCTATTCGGCCTGAAAAATAACCTGGAACGGGTAAATACTCTCGGGTTAAGGTTTGTGTAAATTATTAAGTTTTAACTGACACGTCGGCTATCTTTGGATAATTTTTTCATCATGAAGGTTTGTCTGTTTGCACGCATGCTGTAAAAAATTCTTCAGTCACGCGTAACTAACTAATCAACTCGCGTCGGCATCACATTTTCGTGAAGCTGTATTGCGGTCTTTTTGCCATAAAACTCTGACAAACTTAGTGAAGAAGCCAACTGAGACCGAAAAAAACATCTACACTTTATTGGACTTCTTCCAGTCACTTTAATCTTTACAAAGCAAGTTTTACTTCACAAACATGTCTCATTTCAAGATTATTTTATCCACAAGTTCAACAATAATTTTCACATTTTTTAAACTTGATAGCAAGTATTGATGTTATTCTGTAAGGGTGTTCTTTCATTTTATTCAACTTTTCAATGCAATTCTAACAGACCGTGAAGAGAAATTACGTCAATCAATGATAGGCTCAAAGGTTATCGACAAAGATAATGGAAGTGATGAGTTATGAGTATGTCTATAACAGGCCCCTTTAGGTATGTGCCAGAACGCTCTAAAAATATTATTTCGTAATTCAACATAGTCTTGGAGACTAACGCGGAATAACCATAATCGAGTGATAAAAACTGCTTGGAATAGAGGCTGTGTTTCCACTCCACCGATTACAGACGCCTTCGTTGGCGGTAGTCCTACTAGATTTTTTAAGTGATTTGATAACAACGAGGCATGACAGTATTATTGTTTAGCTCGCAACAGGCGAGTTATCCAACGTCATGATTAAGCTAATGACAAGTAGGTAGTTGACGGGAATACTTTTTACGTGGTAAATCTCGATTAAACAAAATACAAGTGCAGATCAGAGAATTTGAATTCTTTGTACACAATAAAAACAGGAGAGAAACATTATCAACAGCTTTCTATGAAGTGTTACTAACAGGACCATTTGAAACAAATAACTCATAATCAAGCCAAGAGACAATGGGCGGTTTCTTAAATTATGATTCACATCAGCAACAAAAGTAGTAGACCATTCTATTTAGGTGGCGGGTCCGACAACTCACAAAAATTACATATATTTCGACATTTATCACGCTGAGGACGCGTAAGAGAAGTGTAAGAGAATGGGAATCTAGATGACAATGTTTCATAAATTTTGTAACCTCTGATTAGTAAAGTTCTCTAACTTCTTGGAGATTTTAACGAAAAATTAAAGTATAGTAACTAATTGTCACCCCGGTACAATTGTCCGTAAATGAACAGTTACGTCCTTGATGCGATCTTTCACTTGTATTTAAGCACCTCTCAGGCATTGCCCTCAGAAATGTGAACACGATCTTTCAACATCCATCAAGTCGTCAAGAATCTGGAAGTTACAAAAGTAGGTAGTGTTCTGTTTTTACTTAATCTGAAGTGATGTATATACTGAGCGAAAAAAACAAACGTTGCGGTGTTATAAACCATCATATCATTTGCTCATGTGCGATTTCAGTGTGTAGACGTGTCAAGTGACCATTTATCTCGTAGGTACTGATAATAATCCCGTACTAATTTCAAAAGTAACCCATCAGGAGCATGAACGATAAAATTTCACTGAGAAAAAGTATTTAGGTGGGTGAATACATGAGCCGATTCATAACCTCCGTTCGCACTAAAATTGTCAGTGAGTTCAAGCCAGCTTCACTTTCAAGTCTAGTAGTTAGCTTCGAACGACACTTGCGCTATTCTGCTAGGATGATAATGTCCGCGCACATTTTCGTTGAAGTCATTTCTACATATGCCTCAGTAACAAATTTAGAATATCCGCATGGTATCATTACACTATTTCACCATTTGACCACATTGGGGCAACAGAACACGCAAACTACGCGGTAGTATTAGACAGCAAAACGCAGGGAAAATACGGTGAGCGGAATCACAAAGCGGCCACACTGAACAAACCAACCTTTAATTTGTTAACGTCGTAAAGGCTTGACTTTTAGTGAAGACTTTTTTACTGAAACGATTTTTTGTTTGTTTGCAATCACACCTCGTGTCATCAAACCTCGTGTATCTGCGTGTGTTATCTTTGTTTACTCTCAACTGAATGATTTTATAGAAGATGTTTAATATACCTGAGCTGGCGTGGTGCCGATTTTCTTTGCAACCTCAAGTTTTTCCATAGTGCCAAGCTGCAGAAATTTGCCGAGTAACTCTCCATCCAATATATTTCTGTGAGGATTGTTCAAGCTTCGTTTCTTACCTCGTACAAGTCTAAACAAGAACAATGAAACGACTTATTAAACACGCAAGGACTGAACCTCTGAACTGGGCCATTGTCAAAAACAGGCGATGATATTTTCCACGGCATAGTATATTAATAATAAATTGGAAAACATGATTTATAAATAAAACTGAATCCTATTTCTTCAGGAAAGCCTTTCACCAGTCATGACTGCTGAATATTCAAGAATTACTAACTGTTCTGGAACTGACTTCAGCGAACAGCGCACAATCGCAACCCTTAAACTTGTTGAATACCAAGGTATATAACCGAAAACAATAAGATTAAAATATCAACCGACCTGAAAGCCTTTGGATTAAGACCAGCGACGTGTGGAATGCATTCGACAAGTTTGGTTTGCAGCATGTGTAGTCGTCTGTATGTTTTCTCAGTCATAGGTAATAACAGTCCAAGCCCACCATCCAGTGTGCCTGAACAACAGCAATCATCAATCATCATCACTGAATTCTAATTTATTAATTAAATACTTGTAAATTAAAGCGTTTCTGATGGTGAATATGGTAATACCACGGCAATTTACCATGTGAACAGACATTTCTGCGCGAGCATCTTTTCAACAAAAACAACAAAATTTCTTCCAGAATTCAGTGTTCTTGGTCGTGGATCTTAAGATCCGATCAACTCTAAAACTTGCTTTGAACCAACACTTTAGCCCAGTAAAATAAGAATGTAAACTTACCAAAACAAGTCAGCTGTCTCAAGTCTTTACCGCCAACTTTTCCTGTTGTTCTTGCACGGATCCTGAAGAATGAAGTAATATGGCTTCCTATGTTAATATCCGCTCGCTGAAGAAGTCGCTGACCACCGAAGCTTTCAACAGCTAAAAATAAAAGAACACAGCCCGTGATATTTCAAAGAAGTTTAACCGGAAGCATAAAACTTCAATAGAGATTGGCTGCGTCATTGTCTTACCTTCTGGTTGATAAGTGAGTAAAAGCAAGTTTTGATCACCATCTGATACTGCAAAAGAAATTACGATCGTTAGTCTGACAAAGGCACAAAAATGAGAAACAACACAACAGTCATTGGCGGTCAATTGAATTAAAATGGCTTCCCGTAACATATTTTAGACGACACGACTGACTCAAATGGAAAAGGCCATCGTACCTTTGAATAAAACTGAATACAATAAAACCACGTTGAATTTAAATAACACTCCATTAACGATCACAAGTATTTGAAACAATATTTCATCAAATTATACACAGCTAGAGGTTGAAGTAGTCAAAATTCGCAAAAAAAAAAAGCTTTCGTCGATTAGTTCAGGTTGGCTTTCAATTCCTTTAGCTCAAATCATTACCTTCCATGATGCACCCTTAAATAAGACGAGGTATTTTTCGATCAGCCCCCTTGGCCACGAATTGAAATGGAAGTCTTTGATGAACGAGACTTGTAATGGAAAAATTGCTGAGTGCAAGTGATTAAACAATTGTCCTCTGATGAGTTTAATTTGACTCATATCCTTACTAATAATCTTCAAAGTGTACAAGCGAAAAAAAAATTGAAAAAAAGAGAGAGAAAGAGAAAGAGAAAGAAGGCACATTACCAAGAAATCCCAGTTGTGGACCATCAATAACAAAATCGGCCGAATACACTTCTAATGGTTTTGGATCCTGAACAAAAAAGTAAATACTTCGTGAACTCGAGTAAATAAAGGAAAGGAAATGAAAAACAAGGAAATAAACTTTAAAGGTCAACAAGTGGGAGGAGAACGCTTGGCGGCAGAATATAAGGTATTCAAAATTGTAATTTGGTAATAGCAATGTTACTTCTTGGTTTCGGGAGTTTTTGGAATCCTCTGAAACTTCCTTAAATTTATGCTTTGTTGTTGAGTATGACAATTCGTCGTGATATTTTAGTGAAAAAAATCGTCCCAAATTCCCCATTTTTTTTTATATTATTGCAAAGAAATCACGTCACGCGAATGTAATAAATATTGAGGCGTGCGTGAGGAACCCATTTCAGTGTCGTGAGGTAAATTTTAAGCAAGTCGCAGGCTGCAAAAGTGAGACGGCAATAAATGCGTTGTTGACCGAGCCTGAGGTCAAGATGACTGGATATTGGCGGAGTTCTTTTCTTCCTTTTTTATGAAGCGAGACGATTTTGAGGTCTATGAAAACGCGAAAAAAGAACGAGGCCATTGAATAACTTTGAAAATAGGTTACTGACCTTGCTAACGAATGCCAGAGTCTTTGTTTCCTCCTAGATATCGAACATACAAAAATAACATTCAACTGCACACATAGGAATTCTATCGTAGGGTTTCTATGAGAACTAACACGTAAGAAGAATTAAAGGTGACCGTCCTTCATTTTATAGCTAGTAAAATGAAACTTTGACTTTACCTGTAATCGAAGGAGAGTAATGCTCTTGCATAAATCAGCTGCAATAATCAGAGTCTTGATGGACATTAACGAATGAATGTACATTTGCGTGTCAATAAATGCCATTCCCACCAAATCATTGCTATCTTTGAAATTCCAGATGTAAATCTGTTTATTTTGACCAAACAAACAGAAATTTTAGCATGACATCTTTACGGAGTCCTATAAACTGTAACTTACAGAGACGCTACAGAACATGTAGAGATTTCTGAGATTTTTCCCATTTTGTCCCGAGCTATGAAGTTACAAATGAATATGACATGCCATGTTTTTTTAATGAATGAGACAGATGAAGGCCAACATACCTTCTGTCCTATGGCGCTCACAAGGTAACCATTGACTTGAGTCAGAGCACTCACTGGACCTTTCTGTTCCTTACCGTACAACATCTAAAAACAAACAGAAAGAAAAATTCGGAGCAGATCACAATTAGTACAGCTTCTGTGGTAACATTTCTTGTTGGATGTGTCAATGATCCGCGAATGGCGAAGACGTGGCTCGATGAATTGCAGTTTTACATTTAACAACTTTATCCTAATTTTAATTTTAAGTTTATGCGCAGTTCATTGACATGGTTGCCACAGCCATAGAATTTTGAAATTACCTGACTTTTCCCGGAGAAAAGTTAACAATCTCAGGAGCGCGAGTTTGATTTGTTAATCACGAGGATGACTAATGACCCAATTGGACAACAATGACCTGTTACCAATTAATAAAAACCATTACAATTTCCAATAAAAACAAATTTATATATCGATAGAAAGACTTGTAATTCAATATTTTAACCGTTAACAATCTGCTGTAAAAAGTGTAATGAAAAGGTCTAGAAACAGCTATTGGATATTGTTAAAAGTGTTTCAATCTGTAATTGGTAGATTCATTTGAGGATACTCAGTGTGATTGGCTGATGCATTTGTTCGCTTTAAGGTGTCTGATTACAACTCTACCAAACAATTTGTGAAAAATAAAGCAATACATCCATCCACCAATCACAATAGTAGAAATTGTGATGGTTATAATTGGGCTTCACACGCATCTTCTCCACCCACTCATTCATGGTTTAAGCAGGTCACACTCAGTTTACATGAACGAATACTCTTGACATAACAAGAAAAAGGATTGAGTTTTTCTCAAACATTATTCTATGATTTAATTCATAAGCTATCTTGAACTTCCATTGCAAGGAGAATCAGCATGCTTGCCTGTAATCTATCAATTGTAATGCTAAACAGTGTACATCGACATAACAAAATCCTCGCTGTTACCTTAAACTTATTCTTGGTCAATGGCTGGCCCGGCTCGGGGACAACTTCAATGATATCAAATATCAAAATCTGTTTGGAAAAAAAATTGTTTTTAAAAACAGTAACACCAAATGTGAAGAAGGTCGATCCTTGTTCAAGTCGTGACATCATAATCACCTCCTTCGACCAAAAAGTCAATCGGAAATTTTCATTCTAAGGTAATACGCATATATCTTGTCAAGGAGATTTTAAAAAACACATCGTAAAAGCGTTAAGGAAGTTGAGTGGATAAATGAGAAGAAAATTCTCGCCACAAAATGTTTAATTTGTGTCAAGAAGAAGTTAAGCTCAACCTCAGAAAATTAGTTCATTAGAGAGCAAAGATAATTTTGAAAGTCAGTGAACAATTCTTAGAAGAATTCTGATATTATCAAGAGATTTGAAAGAATTATTGAGTGGAAATTCTATAAAAATTGCTTGGATGCCGGTTATATGACAATGCGTTTTTTTGTTTTTGTTTTTGCAATATGTCAACCCATCAGAGAAACCTACCCGTCCCCTGCAGGTAATATCTTCACCGTACACATGAGTTGTGCCAACACAAATAAAACCCTTGTGACCTGCATGAGTCTCCTGACTTGCTAGCATAAGATTCTTGCAGGTGGTGACATGTTCCCAGTCCTCCATCTCAATTCTGAAACAAGGTCAATCGTTGAATAAGAAAGTGGATGACTATGCAAAAAAAAAATAATAAAGAAATGTTTTCACCCCATGTATCAAAATGTCATTAGATTCATTGGTTGTAGGCTGCTTTTATGTACAATCGAAATGAATTTTTCAACACCATGAATTCTCGATTTTTCTTTGGGTTACTTTTCCTTTTTTCTTCAAACTGGTCAGACCATTGAACCAATCGTGCACCATATGGTCAGTTCGAATGTTGATGTGAAAATTTTTGTCATGAAGTAAATGAAGACAGTAGGTTTGAGGCCTGCTGATTAAGTTCATATGAAATTGGAAATATTTTACTAAGTCAACAATTATGCAAGAAAAAACAAGAAACAAAAAACAGAAAAAAACCGAGAATGGAAACAGATCTTCATTTCTTACTAACCGTGTGCCTGGTATAATCTCCCAACTAACTGGTGAGATAAGCTGTAGGCTGAATCGGTCAATAATTGGATATACAAATCTTGAATCTACAATGAAATTGGACAACTTAGTTTTGTAATTAGACAGGTTCTATTATTTAATTTTTTACTCGATATTCATGAACTGAAAGTACAATCATATTATCACAGTGGAACATTCTCAAATACGATCGAGGGAACCTCGAATGAAATAATGAAAATTTGAAGGCCTGCCGAGGGATGCAGTTCTCGCTTACCTCTATCGATATCTTCAGCTTCATGATCCTCAGTGTTCAATTTGACCACTCTCTTAGTTTGTTCTGACAAGCTTGTGACAACTGCATATGTCTGACACAACAGCAATGACACAATCAAGATACAAGGAATAATGCTTTATTTCGCTAAGCCTCCTTACCTACCCCTCCCCCCGTTCATTTTCTGCAGCCACACTTGGGGAACGCCACTTATGAGGAATCATTGAAGACGGAAATTAAGAACCTTTGTTTACATAAACTTCAAAATTCCATCAAATTTGTTAATTTTGCATCGTGTTGTGGTCCTCCCGTGTTTTTTGCTTGACAGAGATGTCAATGTGATCAGTGGAATCGTTGTTTTCACTTTTCGAATTTTGAATGTTGGGTGGTGTATCACATTTAAGAGTCTTCAGACGTCAAGCTTGCGATGATTGTCTTTCAGTCGTGATCTCAAAATGTGAGAAGTTTTCAGCTACTCTGACAAATGAAGAAACAAGCTCACTACAACTAACAAACTGACACTGGTGGTATATCTTTGAAATGTGACCCGCAGTACCTTGCTTTCTCTGTTGTAAGTCACAAAATGAGGAGTGCATCTCAGAGGAACCTTCCTTACAGGCCACGGGGCATCGTAACTAAGATGGGTTGGGAGAACTGAAATTCTTAACTCCCCCTGTAAAGGAAACAATGAAACACAAATTCAAAAAAGCAAACTTAACAGGTCGCTGTTTAGCACAACACTTTACCACAACGGTTCTGAAAAGTGACTGCCTTGTTTTACAGGGTAATTTGGTATTATTAACTGAGTAAATGGCGTAAATTGGCCACTGTAAAGAGTTTGAAAGCTGATGTTTCGAAACGTCAGCTTTCAAACTCTGTAATTTACGCCATCAACTAAGTTGATAATACAGAAATAACCCTGTTGTACTCTTCCACCGACATAGCACCACAGTTTCTTTAGAAAGTTGCCCCCTAAATTCATTTCCCTTATTTTCCCCTAAGGATCTTGTTGGCTATTTGACCCAGAGAGACCTGATTGTTCTCAAAGGGAAGTATCATCAACTTGACCGAAGTATTAGTACAAACTTCTTTCCTAGCTCAGATCTACAACATTACATTTACTGATGAACATGTAGAACTATAATCTGTTAAGACTGTATACACATGTAAATAGATTAGTTTAGTTTTCTTAGCAAAAGTCGTTTAGCTCGTTACGCAACATGTCTACTTTCCTACCAAGCAACAGGACAAGGGTACAAAGTGTGTTGCGCGACAAGCCTTGTGTGTACCTTCTTGTTGAAGTAAAGAAAACCTTTGGGACAGTTGACATTATGGAAAGGGGCAAAGCAAGTGACAGCGCCATCAATGTTCATCGGATGAGTTCGCAGCGCACCTCTACTGGTAACAAACAGCCAGTATGGGTAGGAACCACACAAAAACACCTGAAAACACAACATACATCCATGATTATTTTAATAATATTTATTTATTTATTTAATATTTAAAAATGACGTTTCCTAACCCACTGAATGTCGCTTATATAACTTATTTCACTCAAACAACATAAATCCCATGTTATTGAGCATCAAGGCATATTCAGGGGTGTAATCTACTCACCTTTACCAATGAATAATCAAGTGTAAGTTTGATGACGAAGTTACTTACCCCTGAATAAGATGAGACATCACTGAAGACACGGAGACTGGACACTTTTGGTTTTGTCCCTGCAACAAAGATCATGAAGGCAAAATTTAATCCACTAAGTGCCCAAAATGCTCCGTAATTAGGTTTATTATTAAACATTTACCTTGAATACCATCCACCTGCTTTACTTTTTGCTGCTTTGATTTCTTGTCACGCAGAAGCAGATTGTGTTGGACCTGATAAAAAAGAGATATGATTTTAAAGCTATGTTTTAAGCAATTCATCTTCAGTCAATGTTTAATTCCTACCAAAACTGTACTCACACGTGCCACTAAGAATAGATATACCATCCTACTCATAAATGGAGTGAGGTTCAAAATACATATACATGCTGCTTTTTCATTTTAGAGAAAATAAGTACGTATACATTCAATCAATTTTATCATAAGCTGCATCATAAACCGAGTACAGTATCTTCAAAATACTTCACTGAATTAAGATATCATTTGAATAATAATTTATCCACACATTAAAAGCATTAACTGAAGGCTCTCAGGGGAATCTTAATAGTTTTTTAAGTTCAATACCAAAAAATATGTTGCAATAAATGTAAAACAAATACTGTCCCCTTCAATTACAAATCTTGGTAGAAAATATCTCTGGTGCTATTTGAGAAAGTTTAACTTCTTTATTAGTCAGATACACTGCTATAAAAATCTAGCAAAAGAGCCCTTCTCCTCCTGTTGTATCACATATTAGATATTCTATGACACAAGAAACTGAAACCAACCTTCTTGAACCTTAAGTTAAGGTGACTTTCTACAGAAGCTTCAGTGAAAGTGAATGCTTCATACACCAAAAGTTCCTGTTCCACAAGTGCAATAAGCATAGGTCTGCTGTTTTTGTGCCCTAAGCCTGCTAGTAAGATTTCCCTGACAGGTGAAGAATCCTCCTGACCGACACTGCCTGTGATACTTTCAAAAATAAATAAAAAAGATTGGAAATTAGAGATGACAAAGTCTTCAAAACAATGTTAACTTCCTGGTACCCTTCATGGGAATGTAAAATCCTGATGGAATGAAATGGTGTGCTAGAAAAAACCACAGGCCAATATTCAGTTACTCAGTGAAACCAAACCATGCAATTTTCCACTCTTTGACCCATGAGGTCATAATCAATATTAAACCCGAAGCTAAAAGGGTCCTTTAGGCTGGAGAGGTGCATTGAGGCAGAACAACTTACAGCAAGATACTGGAATTTCTGACCATACTAATAATTACTGTTTTTCAATTCTCTGAAACATGATTGTTATAATGTTAATTTACTTTTTTTCTGGACTTGTTGATCAGTTATAGCAAATGAATCAAAGTAGATAGGACAATATTTTCTTGAGAAATGATTTGATTCAGTAAAAGCCAGACAAAACGATAGCACTTTGAAAGGTAATCTTGTATCCACAAAATGCGATCATTCTTTTTAAACTATACTTTGGCTCTTCAAAATAATTGAGAAAAGTCTATTAAACTGCAAGCAAACAACCGAGACAGTTTCCAAATGAGAGTTTTTGTCAAACTCATGTAAACTTCAAAAAACATTACCTGCACAAGTTTGATAACATTGCAATCACCTCAATTCTTCTATACTTTCAGGATATTTCACATCAGCACAGTTAAATTTTAGAACAAACTGGTGAGTTCTGATAGTTTTCCCTTTGATTCAATGTGATTATCCCTGATGGTACATGAAGCTCTACAACTGAACAATCTGAGACTGCAGGAAGTGTTGGGACTCTAAGAGGCTGCTACAAACAGCTTTTAAAAATAAAACAAATGAACACAACTCCTTGTTTGTTAAAATCTCAATAATGCAGATGACCCACAGGCGCAAACAGTTCATTACCTTACACCAGAAGCAGACCCACTGTCCACTAACACTCTTGGAGCCATATTGAAATTTTTAACCAAGAAAACCAACTTGAAATCAGGTAAAGTGTAAATCTCCAAGACACCATTGTCACGACAAACAACACACCACCATGTTGGATTCACTGTTTCAGCATTTGATTCCCCAGTGAACACACTACAAGGACACACAAGAATTAAATTAAAACAACATTCTTTTTCACAATAAACAAATCAACTTGAAACACTGACGTTTTTTCTCCTGTAGCTTATAAGTGAGTACCTTTGACTATAGTCTATAAGATTCCAAATTGTCCATAAAATGAGATAGGAGAGGTTAATAAGGATTGGTTTCGAAGAAACATTGTGAGTTCAGTTAGAACCAGCACAGTTATGGCAGTGTGGTTCAAAAATGCTGGAAAATGTCTTGCAGTGTAGAAAAGGTCTTACATAAGAGTGAGGTTTACAATGTGACTAGCACTAAGATGTTAAAAAAAACCTTCTACTTTGACTAAGCTTAGATCCCCTTTAAAAAGATCAAAATAACATAATGCCAACCAAGTATTAGTTCATTTCCACCACAATTAAACATCTTTATTAAACTACATTTCAGACACATAGTATTACAAACAGAAAAAAAATACCTTACACACAAATTTTAGGCATTTGTAGGAGCTTGCGAGAAAAATAATAAATCCACTAGTTAAAAATGGTTTTGAATGCAAAAAGTTCTCATTTTCCTCAGTAAAAGGAATACCCAGCCTTCTTGTGGTGAAATAAATGGAAAACAAGTATTTAAACACCAAAGCCAGCAACTGACCTGTCATTTACGTTCTTCTGTTCTTGAGCTTCTTCATCAGACGTAAATGGCAAAGACGATTCTCCATACAACAGTTCATCCTCATCTAACACATCCATACTGAAGATTTAATGAGCAATGATGTAAGAGAACATTTCACACGTTTCACAGCATCTTACATCTAGAGATTAATTTATTATCAAACAAATAAATGGCTTGGAAACATAAAAAAAAAGTTTGTAAGTTTCGACTTCCTCATAAGGAAAACAGAATGAGTAATTTGCACAAAAACATAGTACATGAAAATTTGAAAAAAAAGGAACAATTGCAGTCTCTTAAGAATCAATCATTGTAAAGAGTTATCTTTTCTTTCCCCAGAAGGATGCATACTAACATCAGGAGTAACTAACTTAAAAAAAAAAAAACTTTGTAAATAAATAGATTAATTAAAATAATTTTAATTTTAAAAAAATAGAATAATGGAACATTTCTGTTACCAAAATGATATGCTTTTCCATAAAATATGTCAAAATATGCTCATTGCGAGAGCACAGAAGAGTTGTTATTCTATAAAAGCTTACTGTCAATAGTAATAATTATACAACTACAATGATCTAATACAATTTTGGATGAAAAAACACCAATACAGTCATAAACCATGTAGACCATTAGTAAGTATGAGATGATAACCTAAAAGTACAATTATATGTGTAGCATGATACTAAAAAGTAACCTTATTTTTTTAAAATTATTTTGCTCTACCAACTTTGACCTACCTTTTAGGAGTGGTGGGAGTACTGGTTTGACGTTGAACTTTTCTGAGTGACTGGTCCACCTTCTCTGTGGAAAAGATACCACTGACATCTCTATATGCACAGCAGGCGCAGACTTTCCCCCCCTAAAAACAGATGTTTGCATATTAAAGATTGTTTCTAAGTAGTGTAAGTAAAAGTCAAATGGGGTCACTTTCACTAACAGCTGATTTAACTATAAGTTATAGAAATGATGTTATCACCACAGACAGTGCATAACTGAAGCATCCCTAATTAAAAGCAATTCAAATAAACAGCTTAGGTACTTATTTGAATTTAACCCTACCAACACAGGATTTAATTAGGTGAAGGAAATGTTGGCCTTCTTGTTCTGAATGCTTACTTGGTTGATCTGTGGCCTGGATATCTTCACCTTAGGTTCTGTACCTTCCAATGTAAACTCAAGTAAAATAATGGAACCATCTGCTGTCATCATGACTGCATAAGGATCAGACAGTGAACACCACACAATTGATGACAAGCCAGCATCCAGTGAAATGTGATACAACTGTGTTACTAAATAAAATACAACCAAACAAAACTTTAACGCATTCTTAAGCATAATTACTCCTAAGAACAAAGAAAATGATTTTGGTTTTAGAAACAGACAATATAGTCAAAAATCAAACAACTTGATGAAGTAGAGGTCATCCTCACCTCCTTCTAACAAGCTAACACCTTGAGGAGTTACCTAATAAATAGAAAGATAATTATTAATATTTACTTTTGAGAGTCAATAGCTTGCAAAGAATTAATTTAATTATCTAACGTCTAAATTTGACATCATCATCATCATCATCATAGAAATTGAAGGTAACTTTTTTTTTAAAGAAACAAAATAAAAATTGTAAAAGTTATCGCCTCATAAAATCTCTAAAATTATATATAAACCTTAACTTACTTGCTGGTAATAAATATAACTAGTGAAAAATATAACTTTCTGTATGAAAAACATATCCGTAAAACTAGCACCCTTTTTCTTTGATACTTCTTTTAGTCAAATTGCAAATTACATGCAATTATACAAATTGTGAACATAAACTCTTATTTTGTCTGTCTACTTTCAGCTATTTGTGACCAAACACCTCAAGGTAACAATAACAACCTGCAAGATGTACTTTCCATTCCCAAGATTTCCAGCAAATACAGTGGGGTACTGGGAAGTAAAGCCTGAGTGATCAAGTTCCATAATCTCTTGTTCTGTCTTTAACACCTTCATTGGAGTAAAAATGGTATTTAAATGCCTGATGAAATAAAAAATTACATGCACCAACCATTACAGTAGTCCTAAATACCTGATACAGGCACTACAGCTTAAAAGTGAGAGAAGGACCTGATGTGTTTCATTTATGGTACTAGTTAAATTAATTTAATATCACAACGTTTTCTTATTGCAATTTGGTGCAATTTTGTCTCTTCTACTGCTTGAGGGTGAATGGTTCTCGCAAAACACATCTGAACCAGCCAGTCAGTGTGTGTGAAAAGCAGTATTCACCTGTGTGGTGTATACTGATGAACAATATTCCACAGGATTCTCACTAAATACCTACCATGCTAGAGTCCTCTCTGCTGAGCAGTAGGAATGAGTGATAGCTGTTGTCACCCTGGGTAAATGTACAAAGCAAAGAAGCAACTATGTTTAGGGAATGTTCCAAGCCAACTATACCCTCCCTCTTGCCATTAATAGTGGCTGACTCTTCAGGGTGAAGTCACCCAGGAAATGTTTCAAGGCAAAACTATATTTACTACAGATTTTATACCCTTTTTCAGAATGAATGACTGCCTTGTGTTTCCCAGAGATTAAGAAGATTGCCTTTCATAAATTACAATAGCCAAGACACATCCTTACAAGTTTTTTTGAAAGAAACCATTAATAAAAGCAAGCATTGCAAGTTGTAGAGTCAAAGAAAACTTGTTGGTGAGGGATTGAACAGTTCAGTAAATACACTTGATTGCCAAACTATTGGCAAAAACAGTGTGAACATTGAATAGAGGGAACTTATAATTATTTCAATTGTACACCAATGTTTCACAGTGTAGTAAATCTTGTACTTGTCTGTAGTGAAATTTATTCTCCTGTTTTTAACAGACCTGTTCACCAGACAAAACTGTCCACATGTCAACACAGCCAGGAAGCTCAAATGTTGTCACAACTTGAGGTCTCACACTTCGCTAAAAATAGGAAATAATTTGAATGAACACTAAAAGATTAACATGCTGTAATGACACAGACTCATATCTATATGGATTAACATTTAGATTGGTTACATTTAACACTAACAGTAAGAGTAATGAACCAATTCACATCCAAATTTCATATTCAAAATAACAATTCTTCATCATATCACCATGTTAAATTCATTCATATTCAAAATTCAAATATCAAGTTGAGAATTGTTATTCAATCACATCTTTAGCCCATTTTTGTTGTTCAATGCTTTCAAATGATTTTGTTCTACTGCATCTTCTTCAGTAGACATTAGAAATACATTATGATAATAATCGATGTGTTTCGTTTAATAACTCTAAGCAAGTAAAATTTTTCATGTATCCCTAAATTTCTTAAGCTTCCAGTAGAGATATGTATGAACACTTGGGGACTAGTTGGTTAATATTGCTTTCATCTCAGAAAACAAGAAACTAAATTTTATTTCAACAGTCAACTGTCAGAAGTTTATCTTCCATTACACGTCTTTCAAGTCTTAACCCCACAAAGTTTTATTTTAAAAAGGAAATGCAGACTTGCTGAATCTCATACATAAAACTAATAAATAAATAAAACAAAAAGACATTTACAACACCTGTAGAACTGATAATGCACCATTTTTTCCATACCCAGAACATGAAACAAGTTCCAAATCCAGCTCCTTACCACCAGAAAACTGCAGAGTAGTAATAAAATAGCTGCATGAGGTTAAGCAGTACACATAAAACACCTGCATACTCTCTATGCCATAATAAAATAACCACTTTTTGTGAAACAGGGAAATAGTTGTTAAACCATAAGGATTGCATTTTTACTTCTTAATATAAATTAGAGCAAAACAGATATCACCATAAACAACAATTACATGCATGCTAATTTGTAGAATACACACAGATAAAGATAATGAAAATTACAAACCTCTTCCTGTTGACGACAATGAAGAACATGTCAATTCAAAAGCAAAATGAAATTGTTAGTTCTTTGAAAATAAGCATGACTAAAAATAAGATATAAACGCATGTTTTCTGTTAAGTGATTGGAATTGACTGAATTTAGTTTTCAAACTTCATATCCTGCACCAACTTCTGGAGGTTAATTTGCTATTGAGAGCATAAAGATAAGACTCTTGCACAATTTACAAGCATTAACAATGCAATAATTTCTTCCCCTTTCCACACACTTTTTGAAACTTATTTATATTGCTTTATTTGCCTGTCTTATCTCTCTAATGTTGCAAGGAGGATAGCAAACAAAATATAAATCATACTGTGAAAACTACTTCAGAGACAAAACTCTGATCCCAAAAGCTCACCGAAAGAAATGCAGGCTCTCCCATATCAACACTAGTGCAAGGTCCAATGTTGAGCAAACTGTCGCATACCTGTCAATGAGACAATGGCATCTTAATTAAGGTAGGTGCAATATATTTTTTCCTTAACCTGGCTTACCTGGCAGATTCAAACTACATGTATTTGAGCTGGCAATACTTCTCTCAGTGTAAATCATACACTTCCACAGAGTTGACAAGTATGTAAGTCAAATGTAACAAACTCACTTCAAATGAGTATGATGTGAGCTTCACCCCAGATTGTTCCTCTTTACCATACACTTCCAACTCGTCCAGATCATCTGTCAAAGACATAAACAAACATAAATAAATAAATTGTGAAAAGGTTGTGGTCATTCACTGGGTTGAGTACATTGAAAACACTGCTGCAGCTTTCTAAATCATGGCATACTGGTACATGCTGTTTTCAAGTCACAGACCATGCTACCATCAGACCTAGTGCAGCCAAAATATGCTATCAAACTGGGATCATAAGATAGCCTGGTTTACAGGATTCCTTGTGGATGTGGTTATGTTCAAAGCAGCAAGAGTGAAAGACCCCATGCAGGACAAAATCAAAGAGCATGACAGAGACATCTGGCTACAGACCTAAAGCATATGTGTAATCTGTGTCCAGTCTTCTTCTTTTGGCTTGTGGGGGGTCCATCTAAAAAACATACCACTCTGTTCATTCTCTCATATAGAAGGCATAGCTTGAGTAGTAAGTACCAAAATACCAAGTTATCACCACACAGCCTACTGAAGAAACCATAGTCTGAACTTTGTTATATTTGCAAATGTTTGAATTCCTCATAAGAAATGTAAATATTGCTCTGTTCTCTTGTCACGTTTAAAATAAGACTTATTTCACATGTACTCTGTTAGATAATTGCATGTATTTAATGCTTACTGATTTCTCCACAGCTGCTGAGTTCAGTTTCCTGTCATGTTGCACACTTAGGCTCTGAAGAGTCTATTCATTTACACAGGATCTAGTCAAATTTGCAGGTATGCTATGTTACAGCAATTTTTTTCCAATTATCTAGATTTTTGCAAGGAATTTTATCCTCAACTTGATGCATGCAAACATAAAGTGTGTATGTAGAACATCAACTAGTTTCCATGAGTACATATTGTACCATGTTTTGGTAAAGTAGAGGTTTTGTATTAATTAGAAGAGTTAATCAGCTGTAATAATGCATATGAAAAGGTTACACCATTCTGATTGGCTGAAAACAAGCATTTATATTCTCATGTAACACGAGAGCAAAGTTGTAACATGAGAGCAAATTACAAATAGCGCATGCAAGCTTTCAAAATTTAGCTTGAGTTTCTGCAATGGTTTTTTATGTACATTATTGACAAGTTATAACATGATTTCTCTTGCAATTTGTTTTAATAAGCACTTGTAAATTTTTCAAATACTACAAATTTTGTCGCCTTAGAGAAATTTGCTCATGCTTTTTTACACCAAATTGTACTCAAAATCATGTTATTACCAATACTTAATTACTATGAGTAAGGCTTAACAGACTTGAATTGAAGGCATCAGAAACTTACTCCTGGTGAGAACAAATCTGGTTCTGTACCTAACAAAGAGCAAAGAAAGGACCATGAAATGTTAAGTTATACAGAAATATGGTATTCTAGCTGCTTGTTTGGATGATTGCTGGAGGGCTTCATGCTACCCATCTGTAGTTTTTTTTTTAATTTCTACTGCTCTGAAGCTGATATTGGGTGAGGTATGTTACAAATAGTATGTTACTGGAGAACCTTTTGAAGTGTATCTAATACTGCCCATACATAAAATATCTTTATCAGGTACTGGTTAAACCATTATGAGAGATCTGTTTGGATTGCCCTTGAAAATGTTGTCATTTCTTCATGTGGAATAAGGCACAAATCAAAAGTACCCTTGATATCAGATGCAACAGTACTTTATCAATTAGTTTGTGTACTGGAAATGGTTCTTAATTCAACCTTAGGCGAGTGGTTTTTATTAACTACAACATCCTAACGTAATCCAATTTGGATACCATTATTTTTCTTCAAGAGGAACAAGAGAGAGTAGAAATGTCTTCATTCAGAAAACATCTACAATTGATTCGATTGTCTTTTTATTACCTAGTTCCTCCTTTTCAGTGTATTTGACAAGGATTGAGTTGCCAAGTCGAGATCCAAGAAATAAATACCCATTTCCACACTCACAAACCTGAAGGAAATATACGCAAAAACAGCTATAAGACCTACAGAAAGTATGATCCCTCAAAAAAAAATTTAGAGTAAAAATAAGTTTCATGAAGGAAAACTAAGTAAGGTATCACAGTAGGAGAGATTTGCTGCAAAATATAAAAAAACGTTCTTCAGATGACTGAGGTAAATGTTTCCAGAATGAAGAATACACCAACTGACTTAACTATAATTTAAAGTTTCAGCAACAAAGACGACTTTTTACAGATCATTAACCAGTTTATGTGTCTCAAAATATTCCTATGCCACTGATGAAAACTATCCCAAAGTTGTGATACGATGAGTAAAAAAGGAATAGACAGGAGAAAAAGAGAGCGCAATAACTTTTTCTGGTCTTTGTCCCAAAGCAGACCCAACTGATCTTGTTAAGTTTTCTTAACTGTCTGAATGAAAACAGAAGAATAATTTATGTGACTGATTCTTAGAGGAGGCCAAAAATATGAAAATCTGTACCACACTAAATAAAAATGACCTTCAGATTTGAGCCACTGCAAGATGAATTTTAGCCATGACAACTGGTTGGAAGGACCTACACAAAATGATGCAAACTAAAAATCACACAGAAAAGCCAGACGGTGGTGCAATTTAAAAAACTTTGGATTTGTGTGTTGATTTCCTTTGCCAAAGGCCCCTGTTGTTGTAAATGCAACCATA